CGGGAGGAAGGACATTGGCCGGTAGTGGACGTGGAAGCCGGGACAGGGCAGGGGGCACTGGAATTAGCCTTGGGCCTCCATTTCCCCCCTCCATCTCTCTCATCCCCCTTTTTCCTTTAGTCTCCCCTGCCCCAGGACCTGGTCCTCCCCATCCGTGCCCTGCTGCCTGCTCCCTGCCCGGGTGCAGCAGCTTGCCCTCCCCACGCAGGGCAGGACCGCAGGGAGCCGGCCCAGCCGCCCGCCGGGGGGGCCGTGCGTGGCATATCCCCCCCACCTTTTTGTAGCAGTATTATTGATCGCATAAGCAGCGCTTGTTGTACTAGACGTACCCACGGTATATTCTGCAGTAACGGAGCCGCTCGCTTCCCGCGCCCCACTCTGGTCTGTCGGGCTCGTGGTGCACGGGAGAGGGAGGGTGCTGCTGCTCGGCACCCAGGGCATCGCCGGGGATGTGCCCCGCATCCATCACCGGCGGCAAACCCCTGCCCCGGCACCCCGGGCTCCAGGCACGGCTCTCCATTGCCAGTCCTGCCACAGCCGTGCCGTGGCCCGGTGTGGGGTCGAGCTGGTATCGACCGATGCCTTCCTCCCGTCCGCCCCGGGGGTGGCTTCTGGCCAGGAGGAAAGCACTATGCATGGCCGGAGCCGGATGCCCTTCGGGCTCCCGCATCCCATCCAGCGGAGTTGGAGGGCTTAGTTTGGTACGACAGAGCCTGGCACCTCTGCAGAGTGCTTTCCTAATAAAAGTGTATTTCTTCCGTAGCCAGGTGCCATCTCTCCATGCCCCACGCTCCCCGTGGGCAGGCGACGTGCTGGGCATCGCCTGGTCTGGCACAGGTGCTGAGCCCGGTCCTGAGCGGGATGCGGTGTGGGGATGGGTGACATTGCGGCAGGTACGGGCAGGGTAGGGAGGCAGGGCCCCGCTGCAGGGGCAAGAGTAGGACCCCTCATCCCCCCAGTGTCCAGCATCCTCCCCCAGCCCAGCAAGAGCCCCGGGGTGGCACGACCAGTCTTGTGGTCAAACCCTCTCCAGCATAGCCAGGATCGGACCCTGGGGCTCAAGAGAACTCTGGCAAAGAGAGTCCATCCCCAGCTGGGTGCTCGGGGTGCTGGGACATGAACATGGGGGGACACAGGGGGCTGGCAGTGGGGTGCAGGGCTCTGACCCCGGCTTTCTAACCCTCCCTGCCAAGGGGCTACCAGCCCTGGCAGCCTTTGGGCTCCCCACACAGCCCCGGGCACGGTGCTGGGCGTGGCAAGTCTGGGACAAGCCCAGGGCCAGCTGAGATGTGCCTTCTCCTGCAGGGATTGTGCCCCAGATTCCTGAGCCATTCCTGCCTGCACCCTGCCTGCATGCTTCTGGCACTTTGCCTGTGCACTGCCTGCACACTACTTCATCTCTGCCTGCATTTTGCCTGCTCCCTGTGCTTTGCCTGCTCCCTGCCTGTGCTCTGCCTGCTCCGTGCCTGCACTCTGCCTGCACTCTGCCTACTCTCTGCCTGCTCCCTGCTTGCTCCCTGCCTGCTCCCTGCCTGTGCTCTGCCTGCTCCCTGCCTGCACTCTGCCTGCTCCCTGCCTGCTGTCTGCCTGCCTGCTCCCTGCCTGTGCTCTGCCTGCTCCCTGCCTGCACTCTGCCTGCTCCCTGCTTGCACTCTGCCTGCTCCCTGCCTGCTCTCTGCCTGCTCTCTGCCTGCACTCTGCCTGCTCTCTGCCTGCTCCCTGCCTGCTCTCTGCCTGCTCTCTGTGCTGGGGAAGCCTGTCCTGCCGCTCCCGGCGTTTGCCCAAGGCCTGCGGGGCTGCAAACGCAGCGGGCAGAGGGGCTCTGGGTCCTGTAGGGCTCTGCCCCTGCCAGGCTCCTTCACCCTCAGCCGGAGCCTCGGCTGGCCCATGGGTCCCAGCGGGACCCCCTGCCCTGCCCAGCTCTCCCTGGAGGAGCCAAAGCCTTGGGCTGCAGGGGACCCTCCCTGCCGTGAGGGGTGAAAATGGCTCTGCTGCGCTGGGGCCTGGAGCCCCGGTGCCCGCTGCTGAGCCACCCTGAGCTCTCCCCACCCTGAGGGATGGTGGCCCAGGAGAAGACCAGCAGATGGAAAGGCCAACTGCGGGGCAATCTCAGAGGTGATGGGGGCAGCCAGCAGACACCAGAGTGGGATGAGACCCCTCCAGACCCAGGACTGCAGCCAGCCCAGCATGGCAGTTGGGAGGGGACGGGGCTCTGGCACGCTCCTGGTGTTGCTCAGGGCATCGCAGAGCTGGAGACAGCGCAGTACACGTGGCACTGGCTGGAGAAGCACCAGCTCATAGTGAAAAGCTGAAGAATAAAGGGATGGGACATCATGCGAGTTGTCAGAGGTGCTTACAAGGCTCCTTGCCTCCTTCCAGTGTCCCTTCACTCTCCCTCCCCTTCCCTTCAGGTTTTACTTGAGAAGATGAAAGACGACAGCAGAAACTACTCCTGGGACGTGGTGAATCAGCTCAGTGTCACCAAAGCCAAAACAGACAAAACCCAAAGAAAAATGGGCACACTGAGCCCATGAGACCTGGGATGGCGCTGAAGTCCATTGCCCCCCGCCACAGAGGCCGTTGGAGAAGCAGAAGAGGCTTCCAGGAGGCTCAGAAAGGTCTGGGAGAAGGAAAGGAGTCAAATCCAGGCAATAGAAGTGCAAAAATAAATACAATTAAAGAGGAAAGGGGTTGTCACAGACATCACGCGGTCCTGTACAAACCTTCATGTCAGCACTAAAGAGCACCCGGGGGGAGCCAGCCATGATGGTGCCCCAGCAAGGTGAATTTGGGAACAGCCCCAGCCTCCTCTCGGGCACTTTCTCACTTGTGCGGTCAGCAAAGCTGAGGCTGGTGCCCCAGGAAGGTTGGCACTGTGAGCTCGCCCCGGTCCCCAGGCTATCCTGGGACAGCAGAGCTTCACCCAGGCATGAGCCCATCCACAGGCTCCGACCGCAGCCCCAGCCTGCGGGTGAGCAGCCTACAGGTCAGTGCAAAAATCCCACGTCACGGACACTGGCACGCATCCTGGCAGCTCTCTGGAGGCTCCAGCCCGACCAGGCAGCAATGCACCCCACCAGGGCTGGCTGAGTCTTGGGAACCTCCAAGCATGGGGATCCCCCCAGCTCCTGGTGACTGCCCCAGCGCTCCTGGGGAAGAATTTTCTTCTGGGGTCCAACCTGAACCTCCCAGGCTGCAGTCGTTGGCTGTTGTCCCCCGAGGGATCATCTGGCGCCATGGAGAAGGATTTGACTCCATCACCTTAGCTGTTGGCTCAGACCCCCTCACCTCCTCGTGGCCAGGCTATCCCAGCCCAGGCCCCCCCACCCCTCCTGGAGCGATGGGGGCCAGCTCCATCACCATGCTGACAGCCCACCTCTGGGCCGCTCCAGTTTCTTCACATCCCTCTTGAACTGGGAGGCCCACATCTGAACCCTACTGCCTGGAGAGGCAGCAGCTTCCTTCAGGTAGCTGCCCATGTCCTTCCCAATGCCCCCACCATGGGCTTTGCCTTACACTGGAGAAGAGCAACGATGAACTGATGTTCAACCTGAGGTCCACCGTAGCCTCCAGGTTCTTCTCAGCGGGGCCCTTCCAGCTCAGACGGGTCAGATGCTTCTCCAGCAAATGTTCTGTGAAGCCACAGGCCATGAAGGACATCCCTGTCGCAATGGATGAGGCATTGCCACGCCCCAGTGCCATGAAGGGCTGATTTCTTTGCATAACGTGACCATGAATCTCTTTGCCAAGCATCCTACCAGGGCCTGCAGGCTTTCCTCCCACCGCTGCGTTTTGGTTTCCTCTGCCTGGCAGCACCCTGCGACAGGCACCGGCCAGTGGGCTTTGCGTAGGGCTCCACGAACCAGCAGAGGCTGCAAACCATAAAACTACTTCCCCTGCAGCTGTGAGCCCCACCAGAAAGATCGCAGGTAGCATAAATACCCTCACTGTTCTTAGCCGCTTTCCACCGTTCTCTTGGACATGCAGAAACCCTTGACCTCGAGGGAAAAAACAGCTGAACCCAATCACAGGAGGAAGCCGTGATGTGGAGCAAAACCAGTCATCTGCTCGCCTGAGATGGAGCAGAAGCCATGTTCTCCTGAAGCCACCTTCAGGAGCCACCTTCCCCAACAGACAGGTCAGAGAGTTTTGGTGGCACCACGATGGCTTGACTAAGCACGTTGCATGGCCTCCCACAGCCGAGGAGAAGCAGAGGCTGAGGCTGGCAGGAGATGCTGTGATGGAGCAGGACCTGCTCAGTGGCTACCCGCCCCAGCCTCCACCAGGACCTCAGCCAAGGGAAGCGGAGGAGGGCAGAGGACTGGTGGCCCATCCTCTCCTCCACCAACACTGCTCTTCTTCACGTTTCATCCTGATTTCCCAAACCAAAGAAGGAGCCCTTGGGTTGGACAACGGCGCGTTTGTTCTGGCTTGGCCGGCAAGCAGCGATAAAAGCGAGCCCGGTGCCAACAATTCATTTCCTATTTCAGGCCCTACCAAAAATAAACTCGGAAGGGAAACGCCAATGAGGACGAAACACATGTGAGGGACAATGGGCTCCCGAAGTGACAGTGGAAATTTCTCTCTCAGCGCTCGCTGGGAGGGCGGACGGGGGTGCCAGGGGTATTTCATACTGGAGGGGGGATTGTGAGGGGCGTGGGGAGCTCCGTCGGCTCCACCAGTGGCACAGCACAAGCCAGGGCAAACCGGTGGGGTTACAAATACGTGTTCAGCCCACGCCGCATGCAGTGGCTTCACGTGGTGCATGCCATGCGTGCGTTAATTCCTCCTTTACGCCCAAAAGGGGATGCAGTGGTCCCTGGTTGCCTTCCCCAGGACACCCAGCTCCAGGGGTGGCCCGGCTGCGGGCACTGGAATGGCCCCGGTCACGTCGGTGACATCCTCACACAGCCAGCACCCCGCTGGCACGGGGCACC